CATAACATAACATAAAATCACGCCTTTTATCTTCGAAGGGGTAGGCAGAGGTGCACATTATGCCACTGTACAATGCACCCACTTTTCACTATTTATGTTATGAGTCCCATGTAATAGGGGGAGAGCCTATTGCCATATACCGCGCACAATTCCAGACTCCGTGCTGCTACTGAGATTTAAAAAAAAAACCATGTAATACTTTGCCCGACCCGGGAATCGAACCTGAAACCCCTTGCCCCGGCAGTCGCACTTGCGACCAATTGGCCAATGAGGCAGTCATACATAATTATATCTTTAATTGCTTTCTAATGTTTACAACTTGACTGTGGTAGATTAGGGGTCTATCTTTGATAGTAATTGGCTTCTAATGGACTGTGAAACGTGAGTGTCATTCAGCCAAACTTGGCTAACTCTCAGTTCCTGTAACCAAGTTCCTACCTTAATTCCAGATACCCAGCACTCAGTTAACTAGATTTGGGACTTAATTGGAGCAACTGGTATGTAGGTAGCGTACATGTGGCTCTCCAACAAGGGGATACTGGATAATCTGAATTAGAAATCTTAGATTTTTATGGTTCAGACAACTGTTGGATGAAATTGGATAATTTCTTGTTGATTCTCAATAATGGTTTTTTGGATACTACCACCACCGCCACTGTAATTGTCAAGAGATGAAAGAAAGAAGATTACTTTATTGAGAAAGTCGGGAAGAAAGTTTGCACACGTCCTATACGTGTGCAAAATTGGGATAAGACTGTCGTAAAATATTATTGTAAAATCGTCAGCCAGTGTTGTGATTAATGCCCATTTTTTCCGCGTGTAAAGAAATTTTCACTAAACAGTGACATAGTCACAGGGTTTTTTTTTCACTATATTAGGCACAGTATAATAATAATTCTTTAATAAACTACGCAACTACGATGAATTAGAACGCATTATGTATAAAAAATAAGATTTTAAATTAGTATCACTGTTCCTAAATTAAACTTAATTAAATCAAATAAAATTAATTGTTAGGTAATATAAGTGTTTAATATTAAGATTGTCATGTCGCGGAGAACCTAACGGGTAACCGGGGTTCCGGCTCGACGTGCAGGAGAAGGAACGGGGTGGTTTTTAGTCAGTAAGAGTCTGCCACTCCCTCCCGCCTCACCCATGCGGGAGCAGTCATTCGATGATTTTCCCCCCTTAAAAAAAAAGTATTAAGATTGTCATTGTACTGCATGCAACTGATTATAGAAAGCGAGAAACAAAAGGCTTTTTTTATTTATTTTTTTATTTTTATTTAATAAACTATGTTTCAAGAACCCGCTTCAACCTCCTCTTTTTTTGAAGTCTGTTAATTAATATATTATTTTCTCTAAGTGCAACAAATACTTTTTTGGAAACCGCATCATAATCAGCTCAACCAATATGCAAGATAAAGTAAATAAATAAATAAAATAAAAATAAAAAAGTCTTTTATTTCTTGCATTAGAATACAGTTTAAAATGGTATGGAAAAATAAAAGTGAAAAAAAAAAATTTTAGTGTTTGCATCCTTTGGGAATTGAACCAAAAGTGTAGTGCAAGAACCCCTCCTCATGTGAAGGTGAAGGCCTCCTCTAAAGAATTCCAATTGTCTCTGTAATGGTAATAGCAAGATAATCGCGCACAAACATACAGGTCAAACGTAGAACCTCTTTCTTTTTATGAAGTATCTCTGTAAAGTGGAACAAACAATTGGTATGCATTCAAATCTAGATATGTGAAAATTTGGCCCGAAGCCTGCATAGGTTTGCTAACTAATAGTGTTTCAAAGGAAATTTTAAACACCCTATGTAAATAATGTACCTTGTTTTAAGCCATACGTTTATTTAAAAGTAGCTTTACATATGTTTATTTAGAGTTCTTTATTCTTTGATCGTAGAGCTTATTTTGAATGTGAATGATGTGAGTGTATCTGACTTATTGTTTTATGAAAATGCTATTTAATGCTGTTTACTCTGAAATCATTTTTCGGCTACGTGACCACTGACTCCTGTAGGAATTTCTTATACATAAAATTGACATCGGAAACAAATAAATCGTCAAATAACTGCCTCGTTGACAGAGTGGTTGCAAGTGCGACTACCGGGCAAGGGATCTCGGGTTCAATTCCCGAGTCGGGCAAAGTATTACTAGGTTTTTAAAATTCTCAGTAGTAGCACGAAGTCTGGAATTGTCAATTGTCTGAAAAGTCTGCCCGGTATATGGCAATAGGCTCACCCCCTATTACATGGGACTCATAACATAAATAGTGAAAAGTGGGTGTAACATTGTACAGTGGTATTAAATTCCGTGATGTGCACTTCTGCCTATCTCTTCGGGGATAAAAAGGCGCGATGTAATGTTATGTACAAATAAATCGGTCTATTGATTGATAGAACTAGATTTGTTTACGAGAAATTCGTTACATGTTTATATCAATCTTGATGTCATCGCGAAAACAAAAGCATTTTTGAGACATTGTTTTATAGTTATAGGCTCGTGACATCTTAATACAGAGAGGTTTGCTTACTCATAGTACCTACGACTATATTTTTTAACAAATCATAAGTACTTACAAGGTGATGTTTTAAAGCCGCGTCATTTTCTAGGAGGTAACTCGGCTATCGATTCTAAATCCGAATCAATAAAAAAAATTGTAAGTAAATATTTTTCATTTTTCTGTAAATTACGGAAATCCGTAAGTGCGAACTACACGCCACCATCTTGTAACTAGCTTTATAACGCGGCTTAACACACACAAACTCAAACACGTAATTGATATTATTCCTAATTCCATAAAACTCCAATAAGAAACATTGCTGTCGCTTATTCTGAAATACTGTCGAACTTGAAACGATTTATAATAGCCGCATTTTTAACTATCTTTTACATTGAACCTTTATGACTTCTGTGACATGCTCTCGAGAAATCGGCTTTGGCTTCAACGGCACGGCTTCAAAACTACACCTTATATTGTTACGTCAGCACATCATTTACGGGTAACCGGGGCTCCGGCTCGAAGTACAGTAGTAGCAACGGGGTGGTTTTTAGTCACTAAGAGTCTGACACTCCCTCCCGCCTCACCCAGGCGGGAGCAGTCATTCGATGATTTTCCGCCCTTAAAAAAAAGGGAATGAAAAATACCATGAACACTACAAACGTCAGGCTTTTTAATTCATAAATGAGTACACCGAGATGTATGTAATACAATATAATACCCACTTTTGCTAGTAAGATTATTAGTTCCTTGTCATTGCGTGAGATTACCAAATTACCATGCACCAGGAAATATTCCAAGCACAATGCTGTTCATAATACTTTTTTTTTAAAAACGTTGTCCCACACTAGGTTTTTATCCTGTGTCATGTCATTTCAAATACACATAACACCCAAATCCAGAACAACAATCTGTGGATCACACAAAGAGTTGCTCTGTACGGGAATCGAAGCCGCGACACGTAGCGCGGCAGCCAGTTACCCAGCCACCGCATCAACGGTGTAGTCGACGTTACTCAACGCTAGAGTTGCTATAATATAAAGCAACGAATAGCGGAAAATAATAGTCAAGAGAATGTATCTTAAATTAATGGTTTCGACAGACAAGCGGCATCGTGTCACTGTCAGCGACTCTTCGATCGCAACTCGCAGCACCCTTCTCAGCGGCTCCCGGTCGCCGCCCGAAGTTACGATTAATTTGTGGACAATTAATTTTAACTTCGGATGGAATTTTTGAAGTGTAACTTTGTTATGTCGTTGTTTATTTTATCAGTGATGATGACGATTATTATTATTATTATTGTTGTTGTTGTTTGGTTTGTCGTTTGTGTAACTGTCGAATATCAGGTCTCGGTTCGATGGTTGAGTTGCTATTTGTTGACCTATACAGAGGACTTGATGCTCCATATAGCTGATGGTCGTCCAGGGGTCTCTTAGTGGGCTAAGAAACCCAAACTTCCTAGTCTATTTCCCCAAAAGCCACGGGGTTTTTAAAAGTTGCCCCGTAAATAAAAGAAGGAGTTGATTTTTTTTAATATATAATTATTTGTTTGTATTTGCTATTTTATATATTTCCGTTTTTCTCATATAAAATGAGTGTTGTTTGGTAGTAGGTTTCTATTAGTTCCAGGTTTAACCTATGTCACTGTAACACAAATCATATTGAAAGGTCTATGGAATCAGTGTTGTGAGTCATTGAGGTGACAGGCTGGAAATATCGTCCAAAAATAGACATAAACTAACTGACAAACAGGGCCAACATTTGTGTAGGTATTCATTAAACCATTACATAATAATAAACTTTGCGTTGTAATATACAAAAATAATGATTTTGCTGTCTCAGGAATCTCACGAATTTTTTTTAAAACGCATGAAAAAAAAAACGGTTAAATAGAAAATGTATAAAGTATATTAACTCGTTGAGTACCGGTTTTGTAGACACAATTATAGAACAATAATAGGTTGCGGTCACCGGTGACCGCTTGGTGTTTGACAGTTTAAAGTACAATAAATGAAAAGTAGATAAATTATTAAAATGAGAACAAAACAAAGACTTAAGTAAAATTATTGCTCATCTACATATTTATCAAACAGTTTGCTGCATGAAATCATTCGTTAATTCAGATCACGAAATACATTCAAAAATAACACAAAATGATGATCGATTGATTCTGTTCTCTATTACAAAAGTAGATAAAACAAAATCGAATCACGAAAAAATAAACAGGTAAACAAAATAAACCACATACATAATTACAAAAAACAGACTGAGGACTAAACAGGAAGATTCTTGTAAGAGGGGAAATCACCTTTAAATAAATAAACGTAGGCATTATTATACACTAAAATGCAGGTTAAATGATAGAAATGACGTGTGTTTGGTCAGCTTAGGTGACTATGCATTGTGTAAAGGGAATCGGTACATAATTAGGTACTAGTCATGCCCATGCCCTATGCCGTACCGTCTCACGCCGTTCAGTTGAGTTCGTAAGCGCCGCCGAATGGGACGTACGCATCTCGTCCCTTTAAAAACATCGATATCATCCGTTACTTATACTTTAGCATCTCTATTTTTAAATTATATTTTTTAAGGAAGTATTAGAGGCCAGTGTTGTGTAAACAAATATTGGATTTGTTGTGCCAGTTCATGGACTTTTTGGCTGATTTTCTCGTCTTTTTGTATTGGTTTCGGTAAGTATTTGTTTAATTTGAATAACTTTTTTATTTTGTTTATCCAATCCTGTATAATATTTTATTTGCTAGTGGATGAGGTTTAAAATAACGTTAGATACCTACCTGATTTTTACAAACACAAATAAGCGGAAAAGTGAAAATAAAATGTTTGCATCGATTTCAGGAAATATACAACCAATTTACTTAAAAATACACACAAAACTGAGGTAAACAATCTATTAATACTATCAACAAAACTCATTGCACAGTGCACACAATTTGTATAGGTAGATTTCTAGAAAAAAAAACGAATGAAAAATATTCTATTTTTAAAATAAAAATAAAAGTATTACGGCGCTAATGTTGCATGGAAATAGTATATCACATTTATTAGCCATAGAATTGAATTCATGGTTTGCGAAAGTCAAATAAACGTCTATTACGAGTCGCTAGTCACCAGGTAGTAAATTGAAAAAGTTGTAATAAAGAACAAAATTTATTTGTTCGCGAAATGTACTTGAATAAGATGTTTATATTAGACTGGAATACTCGTCTGTCTGGACTGGTATGTTAATGGAGATTTTTTTTCAAATTATGCTAGAGTTGATTTCTTTGGATTGGGGTATCTGTACAATATCATCATCATTGTCATCAGCTATAAAATGTCCGCGCTGAACATCCATCCCATAATGACTCCCTGATATACCTGTACCCTGATGAATTTCTAATGGTGGACAGTGGTAACGGAAAATACATTAGTCACCACCGCTGCTCTTCCCGTGGGTGTTTTAAGAACTATTTAAGAGACTACACATTTGACAGTGACCAGCAGCGCTCCCTAAACAACCTGAACCATTTCAAATAAATAATATAAATTGATAATTGCTAATTGTGCGGCTTGATCGTCTGCGAGTCACTTAAGGGGCCAGTAGAATACCAGCGCAAGGTCTCGTCTTGCACATGCTGAATGAATTTCACCGCAGATTTTGGTCATGAATATGTACCCATCAGTATTTATAAACCTTACCTATGTGTATAATCTGTACGTGTCACCTGTTTTTAGCGCGTGAAATGAAGTTTTCTCTTTGTTTCAATTGTGATTTGTAACCTGCCTAACAAACGTGGACTTTATGAAAAACCCTCTTTATAGAATAGTTTCATAGTTTAGCAGTGAACTGTTAGAGATAGTTGATGTTGAAAACAGACAGCATTAGTCGCATGTAGTTAGATAAACGGTTTCTTTATCATTTTCCGAATTACAAGAACTTTCCAGAAATTCCATTAGGTCCTCCGCGTATTGGTTAAGTAGTCTAAGATTAGGTCAGCCAAAAGGATATTTTGGCTTTTCTGAATTTGTTGTATATTATTATTCTTGTTCAGTTCAGATTTCATCGGACCGCTCACCGTTGACAGGGAGTTCACGCTCACACATTAGAGTTCCCCATATTGTTCTTCTGCTACTATACGGGGTTCTTCAAGAAAGGAGAAAATAGGTTTATAAAGAGTCGGCAACCGCATGTAATGCCCAAAGTGTTGCAAGCGTTCATAGGCCACGGTAACCGCTTACCATCAGGTGGGCCGTGTGCTTTTCTTGCCAGCGTCGGGGTATAAAAAAAATTGACGTTGAAACATATGTGGAAGTTGTAACCGAACAGGTGGAAATGTGTAAGTTATAAACTACAGAGTTACCTCTCTGCTTGCTTTTCTGCTCCTTTGGAATTAGAAGTCAAATTACGTAATTATGAATGAGTACGGATTTTCGTACCGGAGACCATTAACGTGGCTGTTTTCATAAAGTATAAGAATGTTCTCTGCAAGAGTACAGGAAAATTTTGCAAGGATTTTCTCTAAACAAAAGGTTCTTTACAAATATTTCTTCGGTACGAATATTCCAAGAATTCATTCGAAAACTTCTCTAAATTAATCAATATTTTCATATTAATGTAGAAAAAGGAAAAGTTTTTTTGATTTAAAACGAAATGAAACTGGAAAGAAACCGTAGAATTTGAGAAATATTGAAGTTAAGGAAAGGTTTTTGTTTGATTTCGTGTGGCAAGTAATTACAAATGTGTCAATTAGGAGTACGAAAAAATACGTCGTACGTAGCTCTAGTGGGTGGAACCGCGACTGTTGAACAAGAGTTTTATTCTTTCAAGTAGTAAGAGGACCATACTTTCTACCGACGGGGTAGAAAGAATGGCTACTTATACAAGGTGTTGTTTTAAAGCCGCGTCATTTTCTAGGAGGTAACTCGAATATCGATTCGGAGTCCGAATCAATAAAAAAAATTGTAGGTAAATATTTTTCATTTTTCTGTAAATTACGGAAATCCGTAAGTGCGAACTACACGCCGCCGTCTTGTAACGAGTTTTATAACGCGGCTTAACACACACAAACTTAAACACGTAATTGATATTATTTCTAATTCCATAAAACTCCAATAAGATACATTGCAGTCGCTTATTCTGAAATACGATCAAACTTAAACGCATTATTATAGCCGTATTTTTAACTATTGGCCCGAAACTTTCTTTTACATTGAACCTTTATGACTTCTGTGACATGCCCCCGAGATATGACACGGTTTCAAAACTACACCTTGTATAAGTATGTAGGTTTAACTCAATGACTATAGGTATTTGTAGACCTTTTTACACATTTTCAATTTTCTAACTCTCTCCGTTCACCAGAATAGAAAGGAAAGACAGAAAGGGCAGTATCTCACTTGTAACTTCAACTTCTCTGGTCATAGTTAGCGGCGTTGGTTGCTGATCATAAGATGATATGTATGATAATTTGCCCTCTATGTATTAAAAATCTTATTACAAGGGTTTTGTAGCATAACTGAAGAAAAGTCATTATAATTCTTCGTTAATTTTACCCCTTTGTATTGTGGGTTTGCTGGATAATGATATTTTGCATACATTATCGTGTATCTCTTTTCTTCGATCGATTTTATCCTGTGTCGTAGGTGCGATTACAAACATACAATTTCACATGCACATGACACCCAGACCCGGAACAACAATGTGTGGATCACACAAAGAGTTGCTCCGTGCGGGAAGTGAACCTGCTACATGTTTTTATGGCAGCAAGTTCCCCCGCCCACCGCGTCAAACTTGCAACTTAGATTTATGTAATTTCAGTCTACTTGTACATACAGCATACTTTTATTGTGATAACCAGGCGATGGCTTAATCTGTTCGCCGAGTAAACAGTGAATGCGTAACTGATTACATTATTATCACCATCGATTCCAAATAAGTAAATACCATCCCACGCGCCTTTTTAACTTCTTAATTTCCGCTCAAAATACAATCCGAAGATTATTCCGTAAATAATCAGAAAAAGGATATTGTTTTGTTTATTTTTCTTCTATAAATAAATAGGTTGGATATAGATAATTTGTTTTTTTTTGTAAGTATTGGTGTAGGTTTTATACGAAGGATGGTGTGGGTAGACTTGGTTAGTCTATTTCAACTATAATGTTTTCGATTTAAGTTATTTCTCTGCCCTAAGGTGGTAGGAGGAAACTGACACGTTCACTCGTAAAAAAGAAAATGATAGCGTAACATAACATCACGCTTTTTATCCCCAAAGGGGTATGCAGAGGTGCTCATTACGGTATTTAACGTAACAGTAAAACCCACTTTTCACTATTTATGTTAAGACTCCCATGTAATAGGGGTGACCCTATTGCTATATACCGGTGGGCACGATTCCAGACTCCGTGCTACGATTGAATTTTTGTTTAAAGGCGCATTATTACTCTGGCCAACCCGGAAATCAAACCCGAGACCCCTAGCCTAGTAGTTGCACTTGCCACAACTCGGCCAACGAGGCAGACAAATAATAACAATATCATAATTACTATAAATTCAGAATAAAAGAAAGGTGTGTTCAAATGTAGGCATACAAGGTATCTAATGCCATTAATAATAATATTAGGGGTGGGAATCCATTATTACACATCGATACTATTATTTAGAAATACTTGAAAATAACTTAATGCAGTTCCTTCACGATAAACATTAAGATGGACTAATCAATCATTGTCTCAATTCCTACACCTTAAAAGTAAAACCAATTTTTACCAACGACAAAAGATATAAGTACATATTATATTAAATTAATATATTAAAAATAATTTGTCACAACGAATTAACCTTACATACCAATGGACACGTAATAATTAATTCAGTAGTTCAATAACACCTATAAATACATTCTTGTAGTATTACAAGAATGTATTTATAGTGTGTGTATACACAACATTATAATAAGTTCACAAGATACCAAGTTCATTTGTCGTTACAAGAGATTACAAATGGCGGCTCAACGCAAATCCTCCGTAAATAAATTGACCTTTAGTGCAAGTTAACAAGAATATTAATTAAAGTCGATGCAAACTGACCCTCGATATTTTGTCATCAAACAAGTAGATACAGGGAACTGTTGTAGAAATTTTGGCAGCAAAATTCGAAGGGAATGGTCATTAAAGTTTATTTTGGGAAGTAATGTATTGAGGTGATCTAACTAAAACTCACGTGAATATGCTGAGAAAAGCTCTACTAGTTTCGAACAGAGGGGTTCTTCCTCATGAATAGTCTACCGCGCTATAACTAGTAAAGGTTTTCTCAGTATATTCACGTGAGTAACCCACGATTTTTTAGTTAGTTTAGTATGTCTAACTATAGTTATTGAGGTGATGTTGTGTAACTTAACCTTAACAGTAAGAACAATGAGAATCATACTTTTACACACATATAGCAATATTTGTTAGATCTACTAAAGGGCCAGCACACATTATTGCTATTGGACTCTACAATTCAATAGTGAGTTAGTTCGTATTATGAATGTTGTGAGACATTAATTACTAAACCAAAAAATATAATTTTTAGCTTTGCTCACGTAACTGTTAGATGAGGAACTCTAGTTAGAACTAAGACTAAGGTCAAGCCACGCGTGGCTATGAATATGAGCCCTTAGCATGCCGAAAACATAATAATTAATTTAGT